AAAAAACATCTATCTATCTTCTTTGCTGCCTCGAGCTTTTCTGTAGGCAAAATGTAGGTAAAGATTTCACTAGCTTTTATGCAAGTTTACAAAAACAATGTATTTCTACCTGCAGAATTATTCTATTCTGTAGAATATAACCACTACACTGCAGAGATTACATCTACCTTAACACGGCAGATATAACTGAAGGGGCCATAAGATATGTTGTTTGCTGCCTAGGAATAATGGCATTCCTGCATTGCTTTTTGTGAGCTTTACACAGCAACAGGCAGGAGTGTTGAGTACATTTCCTCATGTGACAGAGACTGGCAGTCTGTGCAGAGAAGAACAAGACTGTCTTGTAGCCTTCTAGGAGCTCTGCGATAAATTCTCCAGTGTCAAAGATACAAGCAGCAATCAGAAACCCTGAAGGAGATAATAAAGTGGCTTGTGTGGAGATAAGTAGCAATGTAATCATAGACAACATTTTTGAAAAAGAAAGCAAGCATGTATGTTTTTGTCTTATAGTCATTAATAGTGTACATGTAACTATATGCCAATACTACAATAGACCTAATGCGTGCTAATGGAGTGGTCAGGAAAAGACATGGCACTGTCTCAAAGGAGAGCAGAGTCTGATATTGAAAATCCATTTTAAATATTGCATTTAGCATTCAGGTCATCCTCAGAAGAAGGTTTAGCAGAAAGAGCATCCCAAAGTGGCAATGAAACTGATTAGAAGTGCAAAAAGATTTCCGTTTAAAGGAGGAGAAAAGATTAAGTCTTTTTGACTAGTGGCAAGATAAGTAAAAGGAGACAGAAGTGAATAAGAAATTAAAAGCCCGGTCCAGCTAAGAGTGGAGTCATTGCAAAGCCTTTCATTAACCTCAGAGGTTGGAGTATGACCTCTGTCAGCTAATCCTGGTTGTTCTTTCATGGTGTAGGAAAAGAAAAGATTCTGAATGAAATGTACAATGAAATTATATTTGCCATCTGAAGTACAGTGTATCTGTTGTACTCCCTACCGCTGGACATTGACACAAGGAACCTACAGGAAAACAAGGGTGACAGTTACACTTCTCCCAGGTACCAGAGCAGATACAGGCACCACTCCTGACTGAGAACCATGAACCTGAATCTTGCAGAGCCAGGAGGAAAAGGCAGTGCTCAGGGATGGCTAACGCTCAGAAAGAAGATGAGACTACCCCTTCATGCCATTACAGGATAAGATGGGGCAGAGCTAAACAGACATCTTCCCAGCCGCCCCTCTTTCCAGAACCAGGCATTTGCCCAACTCAACAGCTCCCCTGCTGCTGCAAAGTGTGCTCAGGCTCTTTTGGAGAAGCTCAGAAGTTGGTCGGCTTGTCACGTACTTGAAAACATGTAGAAGATTTATCATTCCTCATGTTGAGCCAGTTAGCAGCTTGAGTTCAACAAGAGACATCTTTAGTGTGTATATAAGATATCCTGTTAATTGTTTTGAAGTGATTTCTCTAGAGGTAGTCTAGAGGTAAAGCAGTTTAAATGCTTGTCCTAAGCATGTGCCTTTCTATTAAGTTTCCTCTAGTGCTCTATGTGTGATAATTACTGTTTCTAAACTGCTAATTAAGCTTCTAGAGACAGAGATGCCTGATTATAGTGAGTTTCAAAACACTAGTGCACTGGGAGCGGGATTTTGTCTTGAACTGTGCCTGAAGATTAGCACTTCAGGGCTTGTGCACTTAATGTTATCGATCCTGCATGCTTCTCAAAACCATCTTTCAAAAAACATTTCTGGTAAGAGATGATTTTGTCATCATGTGGTGCTGATATGGAGTTTTATAAGGAGTATTGTCGTGGCTAGGACCTTAGCTCTAATCTTTTGTTTTTCTCTGCTATGAATTAGTCTTCCTTTAAAATCTCTTTATGAGAACACGAAATAGGTTTTGGTCCCAGAAGGCCCTCACCTCACCCCAGCACAACCAGATGATACCACCCTGACATTGTTCTCTCTCTTCTCAGCCTTCTACAAATGTCCTCCATGATACTGGGAGGAGTGGAAAGATTAGGAGACAAGTTAAGCACGCCTTCTTCCAGCAGATTCCTTCATTTTCAGAGGAGACAGTAGAGCTGGAATGACGAGCAGGCCCAGGGCTACGCTTGCTCTTCTGGGTGCTCTTCTCACCCAGGCAGCCCCTCAACCTGCCCGTGACAACCCATTAACAGGAGCAGCACCACACCGCCCCAGGCTCTTAGCCTGGTTTACTCGCAGGGATGGGTTAAAGGCTGATAGCACAAGGCCAGAGGATGTTTTGTGATTTTCCCCCCCCCCCCCCCCCTTCCAAGAAAAAGAAAAATCCACAGGAGGAAGCAGGTAAAACCTTGGACTGAAAGCTTCTCACTGTTTATTTTCAACATTAATTTGCAGATATATTTCCCTTTGACAGACAGACCTTTCAATCGTTTGTCCAAAGGACAGTACTTGGGAAGTAATAATTAGGGCTGGGGAGTGTTAGAGAGGTTCAACGGACTTGTCGCCTGCTGACAGGAAAAAGTAACAGCTACAGAAGGTCCACAATGTTGTTAAGTGCAAATCAGTACTGATGCCAAGCATGCTATGCTGGCTTACAACTACTAAGCAATTTTACCCAAAATTTTTGGGAAATACTGAAATGTGACTTGCCGAGAGAGCTATGAAGGGGAGGGCACTGCAAGGGAAGGAATCAACAACAAAAATGGAAGAACAGAAAATAAATACCAACAAAAGGCTTTTCTAGGACAGACTGGCATCGTGATCAAAGATGATGAATTAAAACAAAAACCTGGAGATGTCGGTTTCTGCGAGTTATCTACCAGATGCGAGTCTCCTTTATTTGATAAATTCTTTTCCATTACTACCAATGCTACCTATTGGCAAAACCTGATTATTTTTTCAAGCTTTTGTTCAGGGACAAACTGTGGCCTGCAACCACATGAAGAGAGAGGGAGCAGATGCAATTCCCCTGAAATCGTTAACCCACCTGGTCCTAGTTTTACTCTCAGCAGCTAACATATAACTGAAATTTCCTTTCATACGCTTAATTCAGGCTGCTGCATAAACTAAGGGATACACACTGCAGGGTAGTTAAAAACACGAGAGGTTGTTTTTCTTTGTTGACAGCCAGGTTCTGGCATACACTTGAAAAAAACATTCAGCTGTGCATTGATAAAACAACCAGCTTTCAAGTGATTTGGCTTGGTGGTTTGGGGTTTTGTTGTTGTCGTCGGGTGTAGAATAGCTAAATCCTTTAGAAAGAATTTCGTTCCGTGTTTCTGTGTCAGCCTTCCTCTCTAAGCTGGCAGCGGCAGTAAGTCCTTTATGAGCAGAAACACCTGTGGATGTTTCTCATTTTTGTGCACATACTTCAACTTTTCGAAGGGCATTCCTCGACCTGCAGCTCTTCACGCAAAGTCAGGGCTAACCCTTGCGTTCTGTGAGACCACGGGGGTAAACATCGTGGTCCGTGGCACCCCACCTTCACCAGAGCGCGCCCCGTCCCACGCACTGACTCCGCTCTCGCGCTTGCAAACACGTCACGATTTTAATCCCAGTGTACAAACAATCGCGGGTTTAATCCCAGCAGAAAACCCCTCGAGTGCAGCGTTCGGCCGGGGCGGCGGGAGGACGACGGCCGCAGCCTTTCACGCCCCCTCGGGGCTCCCCCCGCGGGCCCGGCCGAGGGCGGCGGGAGGCGGGGAAGCGCGAGGGCCCGTGCCGCGACGGGGCGGCCCCGC